TGTCCCTGACCTGTTTGGAGAGCTCCTTGGTCTTCATGGTGCCGTTTGCTTGGTGGTGCCCCTTGCTTAGTGGTGTTGCAGACTCTGCGGCCTTTCAGAACAGGTGTATATATACTGAGATCGTGTGACAGATCAGTCACCTGTGAAGGTAATTGTGCACCTGTGAAGGTAATTGGTTGCACCAGATCTTATTTAGGGGCTTCAGAGCAAAGGGGGTTAATACATATGCACGCACCACTTTTCTGTTATTTAATTCTTTTCATTTCACTATTTTGTGTATGTCCATTACATGAATTCCAAATAAAAATGCATTTAAATTACAGGTTGTAATGCAACAAAATAGGAAAAACGCCAAGGGGGATGAATACTTTTGCAAGGCACTGTAATAGTGAAGACATCAAAACTATGAAATAACACATATGGAATCATGTAGTAACCAAGAAAGTGTTAAACAAATCAAAATATTTTATATTTGAGATTCTTCAAATAGCCACCCTTTGCCTTAACAGCATTGCACACTTTTGGCATTCTCTCAACCAGCTTCACCTGGAATGCCACCAGATTGGCATTCAATCAAACAGCTTCATAAGGTAGTCACCTGGAATGCTTTTCCAACAGTCTTGAAGGAGTTCCCACATATGCTGAGCAATTGTTGGCTGCTTTTCCTTCACTCTGCAATCCGACTCATCCCAAACCATCTCAATTTGTTTGAGGTCGGGGGATTGTAGAGGCCAGGTCATCTGATGCAGCACTCCATCACTCTCCTTCTTGGAAAAATAGCCCTTACACAGACTGGAGGTGTGTTGGGTCATTGTCCTGTTGAAAAACAAATGATAGTCCAACTAAGCCCAAATCACATGGGATGGCGTATCACTGCAGAATGCTGTAGCCATGCTGGTTAAGTGTGCCTTGAAATCTAAATAAATCACAGACCGTGTCACCAGCAAAGCACCCCCACACCATAACACCACCTCCATGCTTTACGGTGGGAAATACACATGCGGAGATCATCCGTTCACCCACACCGCGTCTCACAAAGACAAGGCGGTTGGAACCAAAAATCGCAAATTTGGACTCCAGACCAAAGGACAAATTTCCAACGGTCTAATGTCCATTGCTTGTGTTTCTTGGCCCAAGCAGGTCTCTTCTTCTTACTGGTACCCTTTAGTAGTGGTTTCTTTGCAGCAATTTGACCATGAAGGCCTGATTCACACAGTCCCCTCTGAACAGCTGATGTTGAGATGTGTCTGTTACTTGAACTCTGTGAAGCATTTATTTGGGCTGCAATTTCTGAGGCTGGTAACTCTAATGAACTTATCCTCTGCAGCAGAGGTAGCTCTGGGTCTTCCATTCCTGTGGCGATCCTCATGAGAGCCAGTTTCATCATAGCGCTTGATGGTTTTTGCGACTGCACTTGAAGAAACTTTCAAAGTTCTTGAAATGTTCCGTATTGACTGACCTTCATGTCTTAAAGTAATGATGGACGTCGTTTCTCTTTGCTCATTTGAGCTGTTCTTGCCATAATATGGACTTGGTCTTTTACCAAATAGAGCTATCTTCTGTATACCTTGTCACAACATACTGTAACTGATTGGCTCAAAAACATTTTTTTTGTTTGTATTTTACCCCCTTTTTCTCTCCAATTTCGTGGTATCCAATTGGTAGTTACAGTCTTGTCCCATCGCTGAGGCAAAGGCCGAGAGTCGTGCGTCCTCCGAAACACCACCCAACCGAGCCGCACTGCTTCTTGACACAGTGCCCGCTTAACCCGGAAGCCAGCCGCACCAATGTGTTGGAGGAAACACTGTACACCTGGCGACCGAGTCAGCGTGCACTACACCCGGCCCGCCACAGGAGTCGCTAGTGAGCAATGGGACAAGAACATCCCTGCCGGCCAAACCCTCCCCTACCCTGGATGACGCTGGGCCAATTGTGCGTCGCCCCATGGGTCTCCCGGTCGCGGCCGACTGTGACAGAGCCCAGACTCGAACCAGGATCTCTAGTGGCACAGCTAGCACTGCGATGCACAGCCTAAGACACAAATTAACTTTTAACAAGGCACACCTGTTAATTGAAATGCATTCCAGGTGACTACCTCATGAAGCTGGTTGAGAGAATGCCAAGAGTGTGCAAACTGTCATCAAGGCAAAGGGTGGCTATTTGAAGACTCTCAAATATAAAATATATTTGGATTTGTTTAACACTTTTTGGATTACTACATGATTCCATGTGTGTTATTTCATAGTTTTGATGTCTTCACTATTATTCTACAATATAAAAAATTGTACAAATAAAGAAAAACCCTTGAATGAGTAGGTGTGTCCAAACTTTTGACTGGTAGTGTAAGTATTCAGATCCTTTGCTATGAGACTCGAAACTGAGCTCGGGTGCATCCTGTTTCCATTGATCATCCTTGAGATGTTTCTACAACTTGATTGGAGTCCACCTGTGGTAAATTCAATTGATTGGACATGATTTGGAAAGGTACACACCTGTCTATGTAAGGTCCCACAGTTGACAGTGCATGTCAGAGCAAAAACCAAGTTTGCCCGTAGAGCTCCGAGACAGGATTGTGTCGAGGCACAGATCTGGGGAAGGGTACCAAAACATTTCTGCAGCATTTAATGTCCCCAAGAACACAGTGGCCTCCATCATTCTTAAATGGAAGATGTTTGGAACCACCAAGACTCTTCCCAGAGCTGGCCGCCCGGCCAAACTGAGCAATCGGGGGAGAAAGGCTTTGGTCAGGGAGGTGACCAAGAACCTGATGGTCGATCTGACAGAGCTCTAGAGTTCCTCTGTGGAGATGGGACAACCTTCCAGAAGGACAACCATCTCTGCAGCACTCCACCAATCAGGCCTTTATGGTAGAGTGGCCAGACGGAAGCCACTCCTCAGTAAAAGGAACATGACAGCCCGCTTGGAGTTTGCCAAAAGGCACTTAAAGACTCTCAGACTATAAGAAACAAGATTATACTCTTTGGCCTGAATGCCAAGCATCACGTCTGGAGGAAACCTGGCACCATCCCTACAGTGCAGCATGGTGGTGGCAGCATCTTGCTGTGGGGATGTTATTCAGCGGCAGGGACTGGGAGACTAGTCAGGATCGAAGTAAAGATGAACGGAGCAAAGTACGGCGAGATCCTTGATGAAAACCTGCTCCAGAGTGCTCAGGACCTCAGACTGGGGGCGAAGGTTCACCTTCCAACAGGACAACGCAGGAGTGGCTTCGGGACAAGTCTCTGAATGTCCTTGAGTGGCCCAGCCAAAGCCTGGACTTGAACCCGATCTAACATCTCTGGAGAGACCTGAAAATAGCTGTGCAGCAATGCTCCCCATCCAACCTGACAGAGCTTGAGAGGATCTGCAGAGAAGAATGGGAGGAACTCCCCAAATAAAGGTGTGCCAAGCTTGTAGCGTCATACCCAAGAAGACTCAATGTTGTAATCACTGCCAAAAGTGCTTCAACAAAGTACTGAGTAAAGGGTCTGAATACTTATGTAAATGTTTTTTTTCAGATATCTATTTGTAATAAATTAGCAACAATTTCTAAAAACCTGTTTTTGCTTTGTCATTATGGGGTATTGTGTGTAGACTGATTTAAAAAAGTAAGAATTTAATCAATTTTAGAATAAGGCTGTAACATAACAAAATGTGGAAAAAGTCAAGGGGTCTGAATACTTTCTGAAGGCACTGTAGCTATCGCTCAAACGCAGACCAAATCGAAGCTTACCTTGGAAGATGTTTGCTGTTTGGTGAAAACGTTGTGTAAAACAAACATTTTGACTCTCGGGGCTGGTGATCAATAACGGTAGGTCACAGGCAGACAAATAAGATATTCTCATGATCTGTGGAGTCACGGCTTTCGGTGTGTATCAACGTATTCCGTGTTTATTTCGTTTATGCTTCACAACGCTAACCGGAATGTAGGTAGCAGCCATCTTGAAATTAGGTCATTGGCTCGGCCTTCCGTTATAAATTCTTATGCCCATATATGGTAGTAAGTCAGACCAAAGATTTGAAGGCACCGATCAATAGCCAAGATACTCAGCTTCCCGCAGACACCCTCCTTTTGCAGATAGGGGCTACCGTTCTGATACCAAACCAAATTTAATTTAAAAAATAAAATAGGGTCCCCAAATATGGGGACTTTACATTTAAGAGGTTTAATTTCACTTGTAAGCTTTATATACCTATGTTTTTATTTTAACGCAGTTGAAATTGGTTCAGTTTCACAGCCAACCAACATCCAAAATATTGCTTTTGAAACGTGGACATCGGTCCCACGATCAATGGATCTGACTCTTTGGAAAGAATCTCCAATATAATGGCTTTGATATTTTTGTATACTATCTAATTGAAGCACTTCAATGGGTTTCGATTTCATATTGATAGGTAGAAAACCGATAATAAATGACTATATTACTATAGTCAATAATATGTGGTCATACGAGTTGGATGACATTTTTCAATTTCCTTTTGTTTAATGTTTTAAAAAAAGAAAAAGGCGGCCAGGATGATGCAGGAAACATTAGTGAAGTATTCACAAAAATATAATGAATATTTAAAACAAGCAATGGTATACCGAATTGGTTAATTAAAAAAAATGTGTGCCTATTAGAGAACCTAATCTGATCTCAAAATGCACTTGTCTTGTCTGGCCTAATAAAAAATATATGTTTAAGTAATATTACTGTTTTTGAAAGTTTGATATCAAAGGGGTTCTAACAGTTGGGATCTTAATAAATGACAGAAGGATTATAGTCCTACCACCTGTAAATGTCTTGACAGTTTCGAAAGACAATGACCTTGGCTAAATGCTGTCTTGTTGTCCTCTCTCTGATGGGCACTTGGGATCAAAGGGTTGTTGAGATGCTTGTGATGGCTGGGGTCATCAAAGGGCAGCTGTCCACTATAACTGCCCTGTCTGGATCTCTGTCTGCTCACCGCATCATTTCAAACCAAGAGAAGCTAGAGGAAGGACGCTAGTTGTTGCCATCTCTCTCTTCTCTTTACTTTCAACGTGACTTAACGCTATAGTGGATACACCGCTTCAGCCAAAAATGGTACGCTTGGCACGGCTCGTCTTTTGCGCGCTCCTCGTCTGCTTTTTCAGGATTGGCAGTTCGGAGAAACTGTCGCACCATTCCCGGCATTACAAGAGCTCACCCGAGTCCAGTTTAGGATATCTGAATTCGTACCATCCCAACAGGTACCCTCTCTACATGATGCAGCTGTACCGCTCCTTCAAGACTGCAGACTCCTCACAGTCCGCGGCTGTCAGCGTAGCGGATGACAGACCCTCTCCACACGATTCTGATTCAGTCCTCAGTCTGATAGCAAAAGGTACGTAAAGTATTTAATTTCAAGTAATTGTGTTAGGCATATGAAAACTTTAACAGTATTGGCAACATTCCCAGAGGATCCTTATTTTGTTACATTTGTTTGGCATTTTCAATTGGCTTTCCAACATTTTATGCATTCACTGTGCCTGTCATGTCTTTAACTTGCTACTTTTTGGACCAATACAGACTGGCGCGTGTATTGTACATTTACATTTACATTTTAGTCATTTAGCAGACGCTCTTATCCAGAGCGACTTACAGTTAGTGAGTGCATACATTTTCATACTGGCCCCCCGTGGGAAACGAACCCACAACCCTGGCGTTGCAAGCTCCACGCTCTACCAACTGAGCTACAGTCTTCTATGATTATGTAGTTTGACCTGTAGTTCAAGCAAGCGTCCGAACAAGTCCACAGATCTCTTCAGGCTTGTCCTCTCCATCACTGTCAGGCACTTTGGTTGCAGGGTGTGTTATCTGTGTTTATCAGATCCTCCCTCTTTACAACCCAGAAGTGTCACAATGCTTATTCGGCTTTAAAGAGTTTTTCTGTTTTATGTGAGCGGGTGTGTGTATTAGCCCTACAGACGTCTGTACATATTGCGGTTGAATACACATCCTGCTCTGTCCTGTTTTCCCTCTCCCTCCAACGCTTTGACATTTTGTTGAATGGTTTGGCTAGTTTGTGGTGAAGTGTGCGTAAAGTTTGTCTTGTTGATTGCGCACTGATCTCATACAGAAGAGACCTGCTCAGTTGGTAGAGCATGGCGTTTGCAAAGCCAGGGTTGTGGGTTCGTTTCCCACGGGGGGCCAGTATGAAAATGTATGCACTCACTAACTGTAAGTCGCTCTGGATAAGAGCGTCTGTTAAATGACTAAAATGTAAAATGTAATACATTTGGTTTGCTGACTTTTGTTCGTTTTTCCAGGTTGCCATCAAGTGGGTGAGAAATGGACCATCAGTTTTGACATGTCCTCCATCTCTGTGAGTGACGACGTCCAGCTGTCAGAGCTACGGATCAGACTACCAGCGTTCTCCGCCTCCAAGCGCGTCACATTGGACATTTATCACTCACGAAAGGAGGACTGCGAGTCTGACACTGAACTGTGCAGCGAGGAACGCTTTCTCTTGGGCAGCTTTGGCGCATTGCCCAGTGACACCAGGTCTCAATGGAACGTGTTCAATGTGACAGCTCTGCTCAAATATTGGCTGCACCAGGGAGACGCAGTGAAGCAAATCCAAGAAGCAAGAGTTGGAGATGTGATAGAGGAAGAACACGGGAGTGGGGCACCGGACGACAGAGAGGAAATTGACATGGCCTACATCGGGCATAGGCGAAAGAAAGTTCACCATCCGACAGACGAACGGGTTATGATGGTTGTCTTCTCCAAGCACAATCTGCCCCGAGTTGGCGAGAGCGCACCCACTCTCATCCGTACCGTGGAGCACTCCAAATACGCAATTTTGGACCAAGTCAGCCGTGAAGCTCAAGGGCGACGCCACAAGAGAAACCGAATGGAGAGAGTGCGGATGGCCGGCGGAATTGCAGCTAATGCTACTGGGTCAGCGGCTGAAGCCGTCCAACGCCCACTCTGTCGGAAGATTGACATGTGGGTAGATTTCGACCAGATCGGCTGGAATGAGTGGATTCTGTATCCAAAGCGCTACAACGCGTTCCGCTGCGAGGGCGAGTGCCCTACTCCGGTGGATGAATCCTTCAGTCCCACCAACCACGCATACATGCAAGTAAGATCTAAAAATAAAACAACACTTTATATATTTGGTTTAAGTTCCCAATATGCATTTATGTTCAGTGCAGCTTTTCGTAAAAGCTTAATATTTTTTTGTGTGTTTTTCAGAGCCTGTTGAGACTGTACCATCCGGATCGCGTGGGTTGTCCCTCCTGCGTGCCCGCGCACCTCAGCCCGCTGTCCATGCTGTACTACCGGGACGAAGACGTGGTGTTGCGGCATCACGAGGACATGATCGTGGAGGGGTGTGCCTGTCACTGATACCCCAGCCACGTCGGCCCCGCAACCACAAAGACTATTGTGAAAACACTTATTTAAAAGGCTTCACTTGGAAACTATTGTGCGCCATGGAATGACTCTTGAAGGTCTGGTGTCCATCTACCTTAAATTGTTTGTGGTAGTTGTCACATTGAAGATACATTTCTTTGCTATGGTCCTTACTATATCTTATTCTATCTAGGCCTATGTCATGATCTCAGCTGGATCCACAGCATTCCATATTAGATTTGTCCTTGGTTTGAACCAGTATGATAAAGATGTACTGTTATTTATTTGAATATTTCAAGAAGAAAGACTACCCATTTTGGGTGTTACTTTTAGGCTATACATTTTATATTGTGTTTGTCAGTGTTTTGTAATTTAAGAAGTGAAAGATATATGCTGCCAAAATGGTGCCTTAATTGTTACAATGATGATTATTTTATATTTTCACTCATTTATTAATACTTTATTACAATATATATTTTTGTACATACAATGAAAAAATAAATATATTAAAGCATTTTATTCCGTTCAACGAAGTGTGACATTTATTGATTTCATCCTCTAAATAAGTGAGCGAAATCTATTTCTATACATTTCAGCATCATCTTCGCCTGAACTTTTGACTGTCTTGATGTAATTGACTCAAAGCCAATAATCTACTTGAGGCTAGCATAGCCCTGACCAAGCCTAATCTTGATGAACTGAACAAGACAAGTGTGTTTATGGCTTTTCGAACCAGTCACTTGTGAACAGCTTTACCACCCTCACCTCACCTCAAATCCACATCTGTTTTTATAGTATTACTGCACAGATTATGGGAAGTCATCAGTGCCTCGCATAAAAAGGCCAAAGCGAGCAATTTCCTAGTTGATTGTGATCGAAGTAGCGGGTAAAGGGAGCAACTGAACAGAGCAACAGGTTGTAATGGAGGGGTCAAGATAGGGGTGGTGATTGGAGGAAAGAAAAAGCCGTTTATTTTGGGGGTGCCAGGAATCAAGAGTGACAGGAACGAGGGCATATAGACCCCCTAACAAGAGCAGAGTGCAGTTAGTGAAGCTGTGTGCAGGAGGAGGGGTAAAGATCCCCGGGACCACCCATACGTAAAAATGTATGCACGCATGACTGTAAGTCGCTTTGGATAAAAGCGTCTGCTAAATGGCATATTATTATCATTATATTATTAAAGTGCAAAAGGTCCATCCACACCTTCACATTTCCCTGCCCTGAAATTACACCTATCTTTAGTCTCTCTCTTAGCAAAAGGAATGACACACTGCCCTCACACACCATTTTTAACCTGTGCACCAGCTCCTCAGAGGCAGGTTGAATTACAAAACTAAGCTGTTCATGTTAGCTCAGTTGGTAGAGCATGGCGCTTGCAACGCCAGGGTTGTGGGTTCGTTTCCCACGGGGGGCCAGTATGAAAATGTATTCACTCACTAACGGTAAGTCGCTCTGGATAAGAGCTTCTGCTAAATGACTAAAATGTAAATATTTAAGCAAGTACAGCCTAAAATAAAAGCAGTGTGATCACAGTCAAAATGTCAAAGCTGAATTCAAGGCTATCATCAATGCCTTATTAACTAAAGATGAACAACTAATACAGATTAATAATCACCCTTGACTCTGTGACGAGCCATGCTGACAAATAGTATAGCCATTTAAACCGGCTGATCTGTTAGGGTGCAGAAGTCTGTCATGTTGTTCATTGGGTCCTACTGTGGCAGGAGTCATTATAGGGCCTGGGGTTGGACCCTTGACAGTGTTTGTTCAGACACTAGGGCATGGGGAAAAGGCCCAGCGGGTTTTCCGTTAGTGAAGCAGCTTCAGGACAGTGGCAAGGAGCCAGGTGTCACAGATTCTCTAGCACGTGTTGATTCTCACACACTAAACCCTCATGAATAACCCTCTTATGTTCCCCACCACACCCTGGTGGTCAGCTCATTGTTCAGTCTAGTGGGCTAATATTGATTCTACACCGGGATTAGAGCCAATTTGTGTCCATTAATTACATTGCCGTTGATGTAACCTAAATGTTGTTTTACAATGGCCGATGGATAGCACCCTTATTTTTATTGGCGCAGATTTACAGAGAGAAAAGATTGAGTGTGAAAGTGTGCATATGATGTTGTGTGTTATTGAATTCTGAGGTAGAGGAACAAACCTTGGTTTCTGCTTGGCAAGTAGGGCAACTGTCAACGCTACAGTGGCTGGGAAGAATGAAGTGCTAGACTTGACAATTTAGGCAATGTCTGCTCTGATCTGACTGGACCAGATACCTGCTTTAATTATAACTACTTGGACAGCATCTCACAGCCAGGTGATATCACAGTCGCTTATGTATGTCAGTCACTGAGGTAAAATACTTGGTTGAAATTTACATTGGGATTGATCCGAAGATGGAAGAACCGTTTTTTATTGAATTATCTCTAAATAAATAAAATAATGAAAGCATCACCTCTAAAGCATATCATGGATGTGTAAAAAAGACTGGAACCAATTTTTTAAATAATAATAATTTAAGTTATTTAATTTAGAGCCAATATGCATCATATAGGCCTCTGCTTATGTGCAGAGTGCAGACAGACAGTGGTGTGTAAGGACATCATGGTGTGTAATGATTACCGCTTTCCAGGCTGCTGGTTCTGGAATGTTATCAGTTGCAGGAGGGAACTTCCTGAAGAATTCCACTTATGTCACACTATAGACGCTGGAAATGTACAGCTTTCCGTCACAGAAGAACGGGAGCGTGCCAGTGGATTTGTAGCCGCGGCGCCGATAGCCTTTGATGGATGTGAACAGCAAACAACATCAAGTTCAACCAGTGCGTTTTGATTTCGAGCAAAAATAAAAAAGTAACATCAATTAGGTGTAATTGGCTGATTGCTTCATGTAAATTTCTAATGAAATGTTTCAGGACCAGATAGACTTAATTTTTAACTCGTAATAATGAAATGTCATCCAAACCCTATGTGAACTCAAGAAAAGTAGGCCTAAGTGTTTTATGATTACTTATCCGTTATTTAAAAAAGCTATTGTCTTTCTTTTACTGCTATATTACCGGTGGAATAACCATTTCTTGGGTCATTAGTTTGTTTTCTGTCAGATACAAAGTGTTTTTCCCGAAAGGAACATGTATTGAAGTCAGTCAACCCATTTACCATGAGACTAATGACACTTGCCAGATAACCGAAAGTGCCCAAGGGTTTGACAGAAGCGATCCTCTGATTCTGGAATACACATAGCCTACCCATTCTATCCAACTCCCTATGTGCACTGGTTACTTTTTAGGAAACAAGTCTACTACAAAATATGTTTTCTTTTCTTTATTGATTCTTCTTACAAACCATGTGAAAATGTAGTTTTTTGTCTCAAATTTCCATATATATTTTTTTCTTTTCTTTGTATGACAATCTTTTTATCTGCAAAAATTAACAGTATTTTGAAGGCAGTGAAGTGTGGATAACCCATGATAAGGGTGATTTGAGTGACAAAATAATTTTAAAGAATGAAAGAAATCATATTGAATCTTTACCTCCATACCACTCCTCTGGAGCAGTCTTTTTCAGTGTTGATGCTGGCTCCACAAGAGAAAGGCACCAGAGGTGATTCAAGAGGGTAACACTTCATTCACACTCCTGAACCACCTTTGTGCAGATTTTACAGTAACAATACTAGTGATATTTAAAGTTAACAAACCGCAACTAATGGACTCATTTGTAAACACAGAGGGTGACAATATTGTAGCAAGTCTGGGTGGGGGATTGGCTGGGCCTCTCTTCTTCAGCATCATGGTAGTAAGTGAAGTTGTTTCACATCCCTCTCGAATGCTCATTCCACCACCAGTTAGATGTCCATTTCAAACTGTGCATCGTCCCCTTCACAAACACACACATAACGTGTTAATTTATTTATTTCCTACTCACCTTAAATATTTGTAGAGTCTGACAGGCAATAATGACATAAGAGGCAAATATTGAAACTTAAAAATTACCCAAACCCCATTAGGTTCCAGTAAATCTGAACATTTGATCTTATTTCACTTATTAAATAACATTGCATATTTTCCATAAAACTAATACATTTCGTATGAAGAGTAAATAGTTGGCCTGCCTGACAGGATCATGTTCTTACCAGCGCTTTTGTCAGCAGGTGCAGTGATGTTGTTCAGTGGCTCTCCGTTATGGGCCTTTACATTGTTCATGTGTTTGGAGGGTGGGCTGGTGACTCCTGGAATGTTGGGGAGAGAGCACGGGGGAGTCCTGGCCAGTGGTGAACTGCGGCACTCCAGCAGGAACTTCCGGTCGTAGATGATTCTTGTACCTGAGGGGAGAGGAGGGTATGAGATGTTCATGTAAATGTAATGGATCGAACAGATCATACATTGGTGCACAATCCCTCCATATAGGCCTAGTACTAATCCTGTGCTGCAGTTAAACCACATACACGTCAGGTAGTGTAATCTTGGTTAACCCAGACTTGAAATCTTGCATAATTTGGTCAGATGATCAATTTGTTTACGTATTCTGTCCATGAGTGATTAGGTACAGTGCCTCTTTCTCACTGTGACGTGTGAGCTAACAGTTGTCTGGATGTTCTGGAACACTGAGGTGTGTGTGTGAAGTGAAAGCCCTACATACATATACTGAGTTTCAGTTCATATAAGGAAATCAGTTGTTTTAAGTCCCCCCCCCCCCCTGCACATTTTAGAGTGGCCTTTTATTTGTCCCCAGCACAAGGTGCACCTGTGTAATGATCACTGTTTAATCAGCTTCTTGATATGCCACACCTGTCAGGTGGATGGATTATCTTGGCAAAGGAGAAATGCTCACTAACAGGAATATAAACAAATTTGTGCACCAAATTTGTGAGAAATAAGCTTTTTGTGCATATCAAACATTTCTGGGATTGTTTATTTCTGCTCATGAAACATGGGACCAACACTTTACATGTTGCATTTAGATTTTTGTTCAGGGTAAATAATAATTTAATACATTTGTAAAGTGCTTTTCCTTACAAAATAATCTCCAAGTGCATAAATCAACATACCGCCCCAATGATTTGCTATGCATGCGTATTGTTTAATCTGATGGTTAATCAAACCGAGAGCGATGCCAGATATCCCAGATAAAGGCCTAATCTACATCAACAAACTCAACAGATAGTCTACAACAAACTAACCTTCATATTAACACAAAATAAAACTAATGGCATCAACATGATTGCATGAATCCTTGACACAGATATGTGCAAAAACCGTTCTGTTTGTACTGTCCTCTGTGACAATCTGCCCACTGAGTACAGTCACTGATATCTGCTAACCAAATGGTGGTTCAATGCAAGCTATATCGGCCAGCTGCTTTCTGTGCCAGAATTTCCCATTTGATACTGATAAGTGGCCCAAAAGGAAAAACCTCAGCATTACCCCTCCTCTTAACCTTGGATTGATATTAGAGAGGTAAATTGGACAGTGTGCATCCCACATTTTACATAACATTCAAAATTATAAATGCATTGAAAGTTATGTAAATGATGCATTTAAAATTATATGTCACATATGTTAATGGTGTCTCTTGTGACAGAGGGTTCATGCAAAATGGCAGCTGCTGAAAGATAAGAAACTGCAACATGATCTGGCAGGTCCTGCTAGTGCGTTAATCATCTCTGAATCAGTGTTGAACGCCACCACCAACGCCTTAGCTGTGACCAAGTGAAGAGGGAGGAAGTGAAAGGCCTCGTGTGGAAATGCTTTAAACACATCACATGATAGGTTAGGCAACCGTGTCCTAGCCTACATATTCATAATTTAATTCACAATGGCATGCAATCCATGCATGATGCAAACAAGTATGTTTTCTGGAGCTGCTTTTAAAATGTCAGATACTTAATTTTAGATAATGTCAGGTTATTTTACTTTGCAATGCGTCTAGCAGTTTTGTAGTCCAGTCACTAAACTTTGAGTCCGAGTCGAGTCCCAAGGCCTCTGTGCTCGAGTTGAGTCACGAGTCCCTATGGCTGAAGTCTGAGTCCCAGTGCTCGAGTCCTGGTCCAAGTGCTCAAGTCTGAGTCACTGTGTCGGAGTTTAACAAGAAATACCACATTGACATTGGTTTATGTGGTGGCCTCCTGAGTGGCGCAGTGGAGATCCTGGTTCGAATCCAGGCTCTGTCGTAGCCGGCCGCGACCGGGAGACCCATGCGGCGGCGCACAATTGGCCCAGCGTCGTCCAGGGTAGGGGAGGGTTTGGCCAGCAGGGATGTTCTTGTCCCATCGCGCTATAGCGACTCCTGTGGCGGGCCAGGCGCAGTGCACGCTGACTCAGTCGCCAGGTGTACGGTGTTTCCTCCGACACATTGGTGCGGCTGGCTTCCGGGTTAAGCGGGCACTGTGTCAAGAAGCAGTGCGGCTCAGTTGGGTTGTGTTTCAGAGGACGCACGACTCTCGACCGTCGCCTCTCCCGTGTCCGTATGGGGGTTGCAGCGATGGGACAGGGACTTTGGATACCACGAAATCGGGTTAATTACAACAAAAAACACATTGGTTTATGTGTTGCCAAATGGTCATAATTGCCTAGGAAATTGACTATAGACTACTGCTTCTTGAAATAAGTCCTTCATACACAGGCTCACAAATTGTATTTAATGTTCAATAGTTATGTCAAATCAGTAATGATGTTTTGAAGGGATGAATGGTCTCTAGAATGAATTGGCTATTGCTCCTGACCAGATCAATATTTGCAATAATTGTAACAGGCTCTCAGCTACTCTTTTGTAATCACTGACTGATATTTGTGTGACGTGTAGACTATGATCGGAGGCAGAGCCTGCCTGCCCACACTCATCGCTTGCTCACAAGCTGATGTAGGCTGTGTGTGCTGCGTCCTTCCTACTGCTAGAGAACAGAACAGAACCATCTCTGCGCAACCAGAAATGCTAATATTCTGCTTATCACAGTAGCCTATCCAGTCCAAGTGCAAATACAAGTCATGGGAAGGCAAGTCACAAGTCATTAAAATTGCGACTACAACACTGCTTGAATAGATCATGAAAATGTTGAATGGAAGAAATGTTACAGAAGCCTGTCATAAAACACAAGATGCCTGCATTTACAAAGCTTTACCTATAGATGTACAGCCTTACCTATGGATTGTGACTACATGAAATGGGGTACCAGTCTACTCAGTGACACCCATAGAACACAATTGTTTAGAGTTTACACTAATATTAGTGTCATTGCTCTTATTGTGGAACTGTAACTGTGGGGAATCACCTCACTATCCAGCCTATTGTACGTATTGACAATCATATTGCACTGTACGGCCTTATCTATGGATTGCGGATACATTAAATGGGGTATTAGCCTACTGTGACACCCAAAGAACACAATTGTGTAGAGTTAACACAAATATTACCGTCTTAGCTAGCTAGGTCTTATTGCAAGACTCCGATCCCAATGTGAAATGAGCCACATTAGCTCGCTCACCAGTCTACATAGTTATGTTATGTGTGTATCACTGAGTAGACTGATACCCCATTTCATGGATCCACAATCCATAGGTAAGGCTGTACAATGCAATATAAATCACTCATATTGAGTTTACACAAATATGAGTGGCTTAGCTAGGTCGTATTGCAAGTCTCTGAACCACAGTGAAACATAGGTATGAGGACCGTGGTGGTTCACGAAAAGCTAAGCTAACGTTAGCGAGCTAACAAGCTGATGACGCAAATAATGGCACGCCAGCTGAAACAAAAAACAACAACAGTTACTGTATGCAATGCGATGAGGCATGAGCATATCGCAGGCTAAAGCCTTTGTCAGTTTACAACATTGCACCACAAACATTTAGCTAAATACATTTCTTTGATTGCTAGACAAGTGTCCTTTGTCTAGAGGTTTGATAACCCTATCGATATTTGTTTTATGGGCACCTGCACAGCTCGAACGCATGGTAATCATGTCTCGTTGAGTTAGCTATAAACACAAACAGTCATGCTTTTACATATTACATATCTATAACATAGAAATATAGCTAGTTCTATAAAGGCTAGCTACTAGCTAGCTACCTCCAGGTGTTGTGCTGAACAGAGTTCCTCCAGGAGTAGTGGAGTAGTCGTTGGGCATGTGCGACGCGTCGTTTATGGTCACCCGCCTGGTCGGAATGGCCTTGCTGGTAGTGGTCTTCTGACAGCCCGTTGACATCTTCAAAACACAGGGTGTTTGTTAATAACTACAAATTGGACAACTTAGCTAAATATCCTGGACCTGAAAAACAACAAAGCAAACAACGTGCTCTGTTGCTGCTTCCTCAAGTATTTGCCTTGGCTCGCTAGCAAGCTACTTTCCTAAATAAAAACAAATAACTTTATTTTGTCATAAGTGCAAATAATGTTGTATATCTAAACTAATCACACATTCCCACAAGCAAACCGACAGACCAGGCCAGGTTCTGTAGGACCTTAGCAGCACACGTTCTTTCACACTCAACACGCATGCACGCACTCAAAAACACAGACAGGAAAGAGCTGCTCAAAGCAGAGAATTGACATTACGTTTTACGTTTCCCCCCACTGGTGGATGGTGTTGCAATTTGTATGATCTTCTTCTGTGGTTCTTATATTACTGTTGGTAGCCAACTTTAAGGTGCATTCCCCCACCAACTGTTTTGGAGTGTGGACCAGAGACAAGGAATGTTTCAATCATTCCCATTATTCTCGAAATACACAATTAAATACTACATCCCCTAAAGATGTTCCCAGCAGTTCACTTAAGCTTGGCTCTTCAACACCATTACTCCTTAAATCTAACAACAATCTCTCCCTTCCCTCCCATATTGCTGGCACTGAAATAGCACGTTGTCCACTGTCTCCATCTCCTCCTGACAGTGATCACACCTCCCAGTCAGATGTTTCCCCACCAATTTCAATGTACTGTTTAGCCTTGTGTGTTACACTTTCCTCCCTTCTCTCTCGACCTGAGGACCTCCATGCGTCCACCTTTTCCTGTATCTTATACAGGTGTATTCCCTTTCCCACAACTCTTGCCATTTGTTTTTAACCACTGTTCTTCTTAACCCATTGGCTTCTGCTTTACTGATTGACATTTCAATATCAACATTAAGATGTTTGAGAGCCTGCTTGGCGAGAACATCCACCTCCTCATTCCCCTCTACTCCCACATGAGCTGGTACCCAGAGGAACATCACAAATATCCCCATCTGTCTCACCCTAAACAGGCACTGCAAAATCTCATACAATACATCTTGTCTGCTCCGTGACACAAATTAATTTAAGCTCATCAGTACTGCACATGAGTCAGAGCAGATGATTACCGTGTCTGGCCTCACCTACTCCACCCACTCTTCAGCCAAGAGTTTGGCCAGCAACTCCATTGCGTATACGGATAAATGATCCGTTGCTCTTTTTGTCACTGCCATCTTAAATTCAGGAACACTAAAAGCTGCACCTGTCCTCACTGTTTTAAGGTCCTTAGATCCATCAGTGAATATATTCAAGACAGCATAGTACTGAGTTCTTAAATTTTCACTTAAATTTACTGGATCTACTCTTTCCTCACCAGCTCTTACCCTGTCAAGCAACCCTAGGTCTATCATTGGCAGAGGGAGCAACCAAGGTGGGATAGCAGGAAGAGGGGCTGAACAGTCCTCTCTCTCTTACCATGCCATTACCTATCCACCCACAATTTATATTCAGATCTCGTTCATGCTCACAGCGCTCTAGGAGCACCTTTTTTGTAGGATGTGTAACCTTATGTCCTTCAAGATTTACCCAATATGTCATGGTTAGTTGTTGTCTTCTCAACTTTAACGCCATCTCCCCCAACTCTACCTGCAGCGCTGCCACCGGGGAGGTCCTGACTCCTCTACAACATATTCTTAGAGCTTGAGTCTGGATTACATCTTGCTTTTTTAAAGATGTAGTAGCGAGCTGCTGATCCATATGCTACACTACTATAGTCCAGTGAGGACCTTGATAGCACTATATATAAAAAATTCAAAACCATTCTATCCACCCCCCAGGTAACGCCTCACATTCAATATTTTCTTTCCTTTGATAACTACTCTGTTAATATGTTCCACCCATGTCGTTCGAGTGTCAAAACTGACCCACAGGAACCTAAACACTCCCACCCTCTACAGATTCCTCCCATACAGCTTTAGGCATATTTCCTCCCCAACCTTCCTTCTAGTAAAAAACACAGTCTGTGTTTTCTCAACTGAGAACTTGAAGCCCCACCTGAAGGACCACTGTTCAACTTCTCTGATCGCTCCTGGCTGTAGGCCTATGGGAAATATTACTCCCTCTCTTCCACAGCGCCCCGTCATCCTCAAACAATGACCTCCCAATATCTGGTGTCACCTGGGAGAATACATAATCAATCAGAATGGAGAACAACAAAGAACTAATCACACTTCCCTGGAGGGTACCATTATCTACCTCATAACTTTCTGACAAAGAGCTCCCCACCTTCACTTGTATTGATTGTCCAAAAAGAAAGTCCTCCAACCCCCATGCTATCCAATTGATAAGCAGGCCCTCCTTCCACATCATAGGCCTTCTCTTCATTGAAGAAAACGGCTACCACCACCTCCTTATTTGCCTGTGCCTTCCGTATGACTGACTGTAGGCACAGTATATGATCCATCGTTCCCCTGCCTTTCCTGAACCCACTTTGATCTGCTGACATTAGTCCTTTACTCTCCAGGAAGTACGTCAGCCTTTCTGTTATCATCCTTTCCATATGTTTACAGACATGAGATGTCAAAGATATCGGCCTATAACTTGATGGACTAGTAGGGTCTTTCCCTGATTTCCGTATCGGCACAGCTACTGCCTGCTTCCAACTGTCAGGCAGCTTTCCTTCCTGCCACACCTTATTGTAAAGGCCCAATACTTTTCCCATTGCAGTGTCACTCATGATGTAACACATCTCATCCTTCCCAGATGTTACCCCAGCTTTAGCTATTGCTCTCTTAATCTCATCCAACGTAAAAGGGGCATTCAATGCATCCTCCACCACCTCTCTCTGATCCAGGATCCCTGGATGCTCTCCCCTGACCCTCTCTTTTCCATGCTGTCCCTCGTCCTTTAGATTATTTGAGCTGTGGACCTTCACAAATGCCTAGGCTAAAATCTCTGCCTTCTCCATGTCTCTCATTGCAACAGTCTCCCCACTTTTCAGCACAGGGAGATCCCAATCTACTCTGACCCCACTCATCCTCTTAATCATCCCCCATACCTCTCCCACATGAGTAGTCCTGCCGATGTTTCCACAGAACTGGCGCCGACACTCCCTCTTAGCTGTCCTAATGGTCCTCCTTACTACTGCTTATGCTTGTTTATACTGTTTCAGGTGCTGATAGTTATGGGACCTTTTCAACATCCTGAAAGCCCTGTTCCTACTTTTCACAGCTTCTCTGCACTCTTCAGTCCACCAGGGAACTGCCTTCCTCTTTCTCCCCCACGTACCCATAGGAATCACCTGCCTTCCTCCTTCTCCCCCCCGTACCCATAGGAATCACCTGCCTTCCTCCTTCTCCCCCCCGTACCCATAGGAATCACCTGCCTTCCTCCTTCTCCCCCCGTACCCATAGGAATCACCTGCCTTCCTCCTTCTCCCCCCCGTACCCATAGGAATCACCTGCCTTCCTCCTTCTCCCCCCCGTACCCATAGGAATCACCTGCCTTGCTCCTTCTCCCCCCCCGTACCCATAGGAATCACCTGCCTTGCTCCTTCTCCCCCCCGTACCCATAGGAATCACCTGCCTTGCTCCTTCTCCCCCCCCGTACCCATAGGAATCACCTGCCTTGCTCCTTCTCCCCCCCGTACCCATAGGAATCACCTGGCTTGCAGCCCCTACTATTGCTCTGCTTACTGTTTCTATATCTGAACTGAGAACCACCTGCAACAGCCCGTTCACTCAACTCCTGAAACTGACCCCATTCTGCTTTCCCAAATATCCATCTCCTTATCCCATTTCCTGCTGTATCTTCCACCCTCATTCCTACAGTACACATGATTGGGTAGTGATGACTACTCCCTGTAGATTCCTCCCATACCTTCCAACTAGATCTGCCTTCCAACTACATCTCAAGTAAGATCGAGCAGATTCATTTCCAGTTACTGGGTCAATCCTGGTTCCCCGGCCGTCATTAAGGCACACATGCCCTTTCTCACCCAGGAGTTCCTCCAACACTTGTCCATTTACATCAGTCCGTGACCCTCCCCAGAGTGGACTGTGGGCATTAAAATCCCCACACCACATCAACCGTCTCCTATCTTGACCTTCTACACTCCCAAGAGCCATCAACTCTAGTCTCTTACACAGGTTGTAAAAGTTCACTATTACCAGATCCCCTCTCCCAACCACACTTCTACCACTGCATACTCCTGCTCAACTCCCTCTCCCAATCTACTTGGACGTAAACTGTCCAAATTGGAAAATAGCATGGTTAGCCTGCGTTTAGACAGGCAGCCCAATTCTTATCCTTTTTCCACTAATTGGTCTTTTGACCAATCACATCAGACCTTTTCAACAGATCTTTTTCAGAGCTGATCTGATTGGTCAAAGACCAATTAGTGAAACAAGGATCAGAATTGGGCTGCCTGTCTAAACGCAGCCTAAGTGAGCTTGAGCCAAACTGAATTAGGAGGTATCAATCAATTCAGTGTAATATTATATGATAATGTTAATCACTGTGTCTTTGAAGGTCTGTGTTCTTGAAAATGCTAGAAATATTATAGCTATACGATAATGGATGAAATGCATGGGAAAACGAACCTATTCATTATTCCGAGCTATTACGTACATAATGCTGCAGGACTTTCATGATAGGACTTTCATATGATAATACAACACATTTCTCAATGCCAGATACAGGATGCTCCCTGCTGTGAAAGACTACCCCCACTGTGAAAACGTCAGATCCATTGAAAAAAATAAGCTTATACTGCCATCTGGTGAAATGTATTGATATTGTTAATGTACAATTAACAGTGTAAAATAATATATAATAATAATATGCCATTTAGCAGACGCTTTTATCCAATGTGTGCATACATATTTACATATGGGTGGTCCCGGGGATCGAACCCACTACCCTGGCGATACAAGCACCATGCTCTACCAATTGAGCTACAGAGGACCACATATATGATGGACTTGTCTCATACAAACTCAT